ACTAGGTAGAGGCCATAATAGTTGTACGATAGAAATGGAATGCTTTATTCCTTTCCGATGTACGATAAAAAGTAACGGAATCTTTTATTGGTAGCCGTGTAGTTTTGAAAATGGGTAATAACAGTAATTAGAGCATCACATCAAATCATATACTAAATAAAATGTCATATAAATATATCTACTTGTAAAAAAATTGAATGAGTTCTAACTACCTTCTGACCATCTAGTAATTCTGGTTTAATGTACGTCTGACTATCTTTTTTAAATAAATTATAAGGCTGATGTAAAATATTTAGCCAAGATTATCTTAAATACAAAGCCAACATAATGACACGAAAACTAAAATCAAAATTAGGAGGTTGTCAACATGTAGTTAGAACTCATTTGATTACTTTTTATAAGTAGACGTAATTATATGATATTTTATTGAATACCTAACCTTATGTGAGACTCTTGAATCTCGTTGTCCTTATATAAGTATAAATGTGTAAGTCGAAATTATATGAAGACCTTAATGATAAGGCCGTCTACGATTTATTTTGCTGCCAAATTTTATGGCATAGAGGCGACTCAAGGCATTGAGGTTTGAAAACACACTTTTGAAAACAATATGGTCCACCCCTCAAGAGAGGGTGATGTTCACTCCAGCCTAATCGGGTTGCCTCATGACACATCAATTCATTTTTATCTGGGAAAACTGTGAATTTGTTCCTCATACTATCACGAAAAAGTTGATTAGATCCAATTATTTTAAAAAATCAATCATATTCTCGGATTTTGAAAAAATTGTTCAATCGCAAGTCCGGTCCTGACTTTTTATGGGCTCGGGACGATACATATAGAGTACACCTTAGGAACAATGTGCAAATGCTTATATTTTTTTTTTATAAAAAACTATAATTAAGTATATTCAAGCAATTTAGTCATTCAAATACGAGTATAACATATCAAAGAAATTAATAAAGGAGACGGTTGGAAAGGTTATATTTAAATATTTGATAAGCGACATTCCAGAATACCATGTACCAAAAACAACTCAATGGAAAAGTAGAACGATTCTTACTCGCAGTCCATAATTTTGAGTTAGGGAAAGGCGCGAAAGTTAAATCGTATATGGAGTAAAAATTTCATATTTTGAATCACATTTTCACTAGACTAAAACAAATTGCAAGTGTCTAAATCCTCGGTACGCTAATTTGATCTTTCACTTACACTATAGAACAAAAAATTAGTAAAATACTATCAATGAATTATGAATTTACATGAGAGAAGTAGATGAAATTATTAACATTTATGCGCTAACGTACATTTAATGAATCAAAAGAAAGTGTGAAGTCTGTTCCCAAACAATTCTAGATGTTTCAAAATTTTGGAAATGTAGTTTGTAGATGTTGAATAAAAAATTGAACGTACTGAAATAATTATAAGTTTGATTTTATTTTTAAATTTATATATATTCAAACACACTCACACACATTCTGGTCAGACCAAACTGACCAGAACCGCCTTGCGGCCAAGCCTGTTTGAGTGCTCTTCGGGTCACATTTTTTTATGCAATTTTGTGAACATGTTTTTCATGAAGTGTAGAATATTTACACAAAATCTCAACTTAAAATTCAATCGGAAAGTCAGTTAAATAAATTGTTGAAAAACGCTGCGATTTTTGTGTATATTTTTGTGTAGTGTTTATGAACAATTTATTTAATTGACTTCCCTATTGAATTTTTTTATGAAATGTTGAGTGAATATTCTACACTTCATGAAAAATGTGATCACAAATTGTCATTAAAAACTTCAATCCGAAGGGCTCTCAAACGGGCTTGGCCGACGGCAGTTCTAGTCAGTCCGGATTAACTAGAAAATTCCTCATATATAACTAGAAAATTTATGGGTCCTAAGGGAGCAATGGGCTCTGGGCGCATGCCCCTTTGCCCATGCCCTAGGACCGGCTATGTTCAATCTGGTCAATTAGCAGGTTACCTGCCATGTCAGCAGGTCACTGCTGAAGTGGCAACCCAGTTAGCAGTGACTTTGCTAACTTGGCGCACACGTGGTGTTCCACACATGTGCCACATTAACACAAAATGACTGTCTGGGTTTTCATGTGTGTGCCATGTCAGTAAAACCACTGGTGGTGTGACAGGTAACCTGCTAATTGATCGAAGTGAACATTTTTTCAAATTTCAGGGACATGATTGATTTTTTAAAGCATAAGGATCTAATTGGCTTTTTCGTGATAATACGATGATCAAATTGATAATTTTGTTATAGTTTTTTCATTTATGCAAAGTCAAAATTTCTTGAATATGTGGTGCAAAATCCAATAACTCAAAAAATGAGACGCAAAATTAAAATTCCTCTTCTGTTAATCAGCATTGTGTTATCTATAAAAGTCAGTTTTTTTCTTTCAACCTTAAAAATGTCTGAAAATGGTGAGACCAAAATCTTAACTGAAGATATTTTGAGTAAATTATTTAAAAACTCAATTTCCGATCAAAATCCGTATCAGAATTTGGCAGGCAAATCAAACCTGGAATTGATCAGTAAATATTAAAAATATAATGTTTATAACATGAGATAATTCTTTAAATAGGATTAAAAACGTTTTGAAATTCTAAAATAGGAGTATCATGTTTTTATTCCCTGAATAGGAGTAAATTTCTGCCAAGTCCGGTTTTACAAGGCTTTAAAGATGGCAGTTCCTTCCAAACTTGGCAGATTACTCCTATTCAAGGAATAAAAAACATGATATTCCTGTTTTGGAATTTCAAAACGTTTTTACTCCTAGTTAGGACAATTTCTGTTATAACATCACAGTTATCATTATTAAGTACTAGTACATTATAATATACATCTATTAAAATTATTTCTCAAAATATACTCGAAGTACTTTATTTAATTATCGCCTAAATAAGTGTGCCGTTTTGCTATTATTGCTGAGGCAGTAATAGAAACTGAATTTGAATAAAAAAGGAATTCTATTAAAAAAGCACTTTTCACTTTTTGGCTTTAAAAAAACACTTATTTTCGTCTAACCACGCAATTCGTATAAATGTAAAGTCGTCCTATTACTCGGTTATTATCAATATTTTACCTTCAATTAATATATATATTGAGTATCACTCTCTATATACAGGTTCAACTAACATTTTCTCACAAATTCATATTTGAGTATTGTTTAATAATGCCATAACACACTTTCACATATTTGCACACCCCCTGATTTGCTAATTTACCCGGGCAATTCATGTAAAAAATGCAATTCGTATAAATGCATTGTCACCATATTACTTGATATGTTTATACTTACATCTATTTCAGTCTCAGACCAAATCAAACTTAAACAAACCAGAACAGACCATACTTGGGTATTAGAAATAGTAGAAGCACATATTTGAACATTTTTCCACAAATTTAGATCCAAGTATAATTCAAGAATGACATAACACACTTTCACATATTTTACTCCCTTATTTTACCAATTTAGAGAGACAATTCATCTAAAAATGCAATTCAATGTAAATTTATAGTCACCTTATTACTTAGTCATTATAAATAATTTACCTTCAATGAATTTATATAAACCTTTGAAAATGAAAACAAAATGGCAAAGTCATTAGCATATTGCAAGGTGAATTAATAGCAAAACATTTTACTAAAAGAAATGATTTTAACAAAAGTTAGTGCGATCTAAAATGTGTTAAGCATTCCTATTAACAACTTCAAATGTTGACCGTGCAATGCACGATCAGTCGATGAGATACAGATGTACTATGACTGTAGAAACATTTCTACGTGCGAGGCTGCTTGGCGCATATTTGGGTTTGAAATTCAATATAAGATCCCAACAGTTGAACCTTTGAGCTTCCATTTGCCGGAAGAACAAAGTGTTGTCTTTCGCGATGATCAGCCTCTGGATTCAGTGGTTCGGGCATGTTCAGTTAAGGACATTATGTTCACAGCATGGATGGAGACCAATAAGAAGTACCCGTAAGTAATGCTTTAGTGTTGTGAGCACATCAATTTCAATGCATATTTACAATGTTATGGTTTCAAGGTATTTGTTGGATGTTTTTGATCTTTTAGGTAATGTTTAGTAATCTCATTTTGACCATAATATTATAAGTGTTTTTCATTTAATGCTTTGATGTATATTTGTATTACATGAAGATATATATTGTCATCAATTGATAGTATGATTTGAATTACTACGCACACATAAATTTGAAAGAAAATTTCTCAAACCGTACATCGCACGGGTGAGTTTACTAGTGTTTATAACATCACAGTTATCATTATTAACTACTAGTACATTATAATATACGTCTATTAAAATTATTTCTCAAAATATACTCGAAGTACTTTATTTAATTATCACCTAAATAAGTGTGTCGTTTTGCTATTACTGCTGAGGCAGTAATAAAAACTGAATTTGACTAAAAAAGCACTTCTATTAAAAAGCACTTCTCACCTTTTGACTTTAAAAAAACACTTATTTTCCCAAATACTACAACTTTTATTTTTCTTGGCTTCCGCGTCAAAAGTGTTTTTACTTTTTCTATTACACAAAAAGCACTTATTTTACCAAACACTACCTACTTTTACTTTTCAAAATCACTTTTTTCTCAAACACTATCAACTTTTATTTAATCACTTCTCCCCATTTCATTAAAAAAAACACTTTTTTAAAAGCAGAAGTTGTTGCAAAACACACACTAATAAATCCATATACTATCCTCCGTTTCTTTTTAATCGCAACATGTTGAATTTTACACTATTCACTGGCTCTACTTTGACTAAATTTTACGCTATTATTTTATGAAAATTATTTTTTAAAAAAGATATTGTTCAATTCATCTCATTACAAAGTTTCAAAATCCGATTTTTAACTTTTTTTTACTGATAGAGATTAAGATATAATTACGGTCAAAGACGTGCGTTGGCAAATGTGAAATGTTGACCGTTGCAATTAAAAAAGAACGGAAGAAGTAGAATTGAAGAACAAATTAAACAAAGAATCTGATGAATTAATATCCGGAGTACGGAGTATATTTTCATGATAGAAAATCAAACAAATCAAAAAAATACGGAGTATCAATCTCCATGATTGCAGAATTGCAGAGAATCGTTGTTATACACAGAAACAAACAACCAAATAGCAAAATCTAATCTTCAAATTTTAAAGTACAAATCACAATAGTTCCCCGCCCGCAAGAACGATCACCATTCAGCACCTCTAATCATACATCCTTAGTCCACCCACGACTTCCTTGAATTCCTGAAACTCGTCCCAGATAAGGCCGCCGCCTCGCCGGAGAAAATCCGGCGTCTTGCTCAAAGAAGTCATGATCGAACATATAACATCCTCGTAATCTTCATCATAGTGATCCCCAAACACGTCCAACACGAAACTCTTCTCATCCTCTTCGGAATCCAATCCCGACATCTCCTCGTCCCCATCCATTTCTCTCACAGTGATCATCACTCCCCTGTTTTCCCCCGTCTTCTTCCTCCTCCTCGTCCTCCTCGTCGTACTCACACAGTTCCTCGTACAAACGGGCGTGTCGGGTCGAGACCCGATACCCCTTTTCCTGCCCGAGCCTCTTCGTCTCCACGTCAATGACGACGACGGCCCGGGATTTCCCGAGACAGAGCAGGGTTTCCTCGCAGACATTGAACTTGCCCCGCAAGCAATCCGAGACGGCCGCTGCCAGGAATTGAGTGGTTTGCGGCAGGAAGAATCCGGTGAGGATTGCGGCGCCGTTGATCATCTCCGAGAGGTACTGCGGGTGGGAGACGAGATCGAAGAGCTGGACGTCGGATTCCTCGAAAACGGCAGAGGTTCTCCGGGAGACGGAGCGCTTCATTCGGAAGAGGAGAAGGCCGCATTTGGAGAAGCGGTGCGAAAGCAGATTTTCTGTCCACGTGAACAGTCGCACGTTCAGGCCGTCGACGAGCTCGACCGGGTAAGACGCCATTGATTCAGTCTCTGTAAATCAAGTTTTGATGTAAGGAAGGAAGAAACTGGCGGCAATTCTTTACGAGTAAAACCAGTAGGGCAAACATATAAAGCACTTTATTACTCGGGATTGTTTCCTAATCTCGTTATGAACGAATTTGGAAATCAACGTTGCTTCGTCTACAAGCACACGTCATACACATTTTGTACAATCCCATTTTGTCAGTATATATAAAATTCTTTTTCATCTATGTAAATTGAATTGTTGATGATATAGACACAAAGGGAGTTAATTATATGATTTGGACATGTACAAAAGGAATTAGAGATTAACCTCACCCCCACTACAACTGTTTATCTTAATTTTAAATGCAAGTTAAAACTAATAATCCATTATTTGTAAAAATACCTTAATTTTATTTCTAATAAAAAACTTGTTCACTAACCCTCTTTTTGTTGCAAAAATAAAAATAAAAAACTTGTTTAACAACTGATAAATAGGGCAAGGGTAAGGGGTAAAGGTAAGGGTAAATTCGGAAACTGAAAAAGTTTAAAGTACCGCTCAATTAATACATGATGGTGGTATGCTTAGTAAGCGGCACTTTAAGCACATCTTTCGGTTAGTAAACAGATTTTTAAGCAACTTGTGTGTTTACATCATCTGTCTTACTAACCTAACTGTGACTTTAGCAGCGAAGTAAACACATCCTTAGTAATTTGTTTGGAGACGAGTATTTCTAGGGATGGACCGAGCCCGGTCCGGGTCGGGCCTCGGGACAGGCCCGTGCGGGCTTAAAATTTTTGGGTTGAAGCCCGGCACTGGCCCGGGATTCAACCGGGAACGGGCTGGGCCGGTCTACCCGCCCGGGTATCGGGTCGGGTCCGGGCAATTAATTTTTTATTTTTTTTAATTCTTGTTGCGTATAAAAAAATTAAAGTATATTTATTTGAATTATGGGCTACAATTGAGAATTGAGAAAAATTTTAAACATGAAATACATTTTCTAATAAATAATAATTAATCGGAATCTCCGCCACCGTCGGTTGTTGTTTCCTCCATAAAGTGACGGGAGGAGGCGATGCTAACTTTTTTGAGTTCTACGTCGGGCCTTCAACCAATCGTGGTAGTAAACAAGCATTTCAAGATAGTTTGTACTCAATCTCGTTGTATAATCTGTTAGCACGTTGTCGGCCGCACTAAATTCTTGTTCTAACGGCAACTGTTGATAGTGGGAACGTTCTTTCTTTATCCTTGCACCACTTTAGAACATTAAAGTCATTCCCTTCTTCATAGTCAACATGAAATGTTAGATACATAGAAAGCTCGTTAATCGAGCTTTGTTCAACAACGAGAGTTGATTTACTTTTTTCATACTAGTAAGATTGTCAAATATAGATTTCAAAAATGATTTTCCTTTAGATAAAAATGTTCGTGTTGGGGGAGGGGGTGCGTTACCATATTGTGCATGAAACTCATTAAACAATTGATGAAATAAATTACTAATCTCGATGTATTCTTGTTTACGATCTATGGGCTTATCTTCGTACACAGGAAATGGACAAAAAAAAGAAGTGTAATAATAGTCTAAACATTGCTGCAAAGCATTAAGTGTAATAATATATGCGGAATATGTGATAATATTTTAAAAACTTTTTTTCATGAAAGAACAAAAATAACTAACGTAAGGGGCATTGGAAAATTTACAAAAGTACTGGCGAGATTAACAACTTCACGAAATGTTTGAGTTGCATTATTAAAAATACGAAAAACATTCACAATTTTTTGCATAGTGTCGATGTCAGCCGGGTTTATAGTTAACATATATCGTTCCGTCATCTTTATTTGATGACGAGAAGCTCATCTAAGGGCCACTCGTCCGTATATCTCTCTGTCATCTTTATTTGATGACGAGAGGCTCATCTACAGGCCCCATGGTCATATATCTGCTAGTCATCTTTATTTAATGAGCTGGACATCACATTGTGGATGGTCGCTCGACCTATCTCCTAGTCATCTTTATTTGATGATTGGGACTACTTATCATGCCGAGCTACTCACATTTAGAGTCTGGTCTCGGCCATCCCTTCAGCAAACAGACACCGTTGCAGCTCCACACCTCGGCTGAAGGGCTCACCCTTTTGCTTCACTTTGGGGGAATCCGGTGTACTCTTTTTCCCTCATTAGGATTTTTTCCCACAAGGTTTTTTCCTAGTGAGATTTTTAACGAGGCATCTCCCCAACGTGGACAAAAGGTGTCGACCCTCGGCCCCCATTGAAGACATCACGGGACATGATCTACTCTACTCCTCTTCACCTCATTACATTCACCTCAAGGAGTGGGGGACTGGAGGAGCGGATGACTTAGCGCCTCCGTCGGAAGAGCGGGGGACTTAGCGCTTCCGTCAATCGAAGAAGCAGAAATTCAAAATTTTTCATGAGATTTGCCACATACACCGACGACGTCATCACATCATATGCAGATTCAGTTGCCACAACAGAAAAGTACATATATATAGCCCTTCGGCCCCACGGTCGACTGTGAGGGTCTCTGTCCAGCGACCTTCGGCTGAGGACTCTCCCATTGGGTTGCCTCAGTCAGGGCTCGCCGATGAGATCGGATCGGCGGTTTTGGAATCAGGGTAGGACGCCTCGACGATGACAGCAGTTCGCTCACCAGACGACGACGACAGATCAACACACATTTCTACTCCCTTTCGCCTCGACTACTCTCGACTCGTGAAGTGGGGGAATCCTGATAAAGTATATAGACTTGGATCCCCGGATTTCATGATTGTTGGGCCCAGATAGTGGCCCACATACGCTCTGTGGATAGCATTTACATTATTGTACAATTTATTTATTCATATGTACTTGTTAGATTAGATTAAAACCCGTTTATTAGCCATTTATTGGCCTTTTAACTGGGCCTGCCAGGCCCAATCTTGGAGGCCCAGCCCATAGTTCTCCTATAAATACCCCCTTTGGGGAACCATGTAAAAGGTTCACAACTCATTATATAATCTCACTTTCTCTCTCTAGCTCTCCCTTTTCTCTAGACAATAGTCTATCAATAGGTAATATAATATATGTATTTTTAAGTAGATAATTAATATATAAGTAGATATAATAATTATATAAATAGATGAGAGAATTGGAGAAGATGAAGATGATTAAGGGACTGTTTGCAACAGCTTCTGCTTTAAAAAAGTGCTATTTTTAATGAAATGGAGAGAAATGATTAAATAAAAGTTGATAGTATTTGAGAAAAAATGATTTTGAAAAGTAAAAGTTGGTAGTGTTTGGTAAAATAAGTGCTTTTGTGTAATAGAAAAAGTAAAAACACTTTTGACACGAAAGCCGAGAAAAATAAAAGTTGGTAGTGTTTGATAAAATAAGTGTTTTTTTTAAAGCATTTGCAAACCAACCCTAAGAGTATTAGAGAATAGAGAGTAGTTAGAGTTGGAGAAGAGATGTAGAAAAATGTATAGAAAATAGGAGTATATGTAGATTTTTTTTGTATCCCCCCACCCCCAAACCCCCGGGACCCCCCCCCCCCCCCGGACCCCCCTCCTCCAAGGCTCCAACGGCTATAGAGCCGTTTGGGACCTTTTCCAACGGGCTACGGCTAGGAGGGTTCCATTTTTTTTAATGTAGCCGTTACCGGCCCGGACTGGTTGGGCCGGTCCCTATTTTTCCAAGCCCGGAGCCCACCATCAAAAGCTCCTGGTTCGGGCACAGTGGACCGGTCCCGTGCCCGGTTGGTGGGCCGGCACTACACAGTACCAGTTCGGGCCGGTCGAACAGGTCCCGGGCCATCCCTAAGTATTTCAAGTTTAGTTTAATTCCTTTGAGTTTGAAACGAGGTGGAGGATAATTACCAAATCATAACAAACTATGAATCTATTTGGTTTGATGCACTTAAGTTCAATTTGGATTTTTCAAAAAGGCAAAAAGGTGTTATTGAATTATTAATTAATAAGGTTCTTTTTTACTCGGTTTCAATTCAATTCAGAAAAAATATTATTAAATTAAATTAGAATAGCATATGGTTAAATTAAATATTACTCTGTATTAAGTTTCAGTTTAGTTTGACCGAACCAAACTGCGCACCCTACTTATGTTGCGAGGAGTATAAAGAATTTCATTCATCCCCAAGCTATTTGGATCCTCAGAATTAGCATAGGAGATTGGAAAAGGTATTGCAAACTAATTGAAATGTGTAGCAAAATGATACTTTGTACTTTACAGATGTAATTAATTTCAATGGCTACTACGAATCAATCTACTAATGTTCGAGTTCTATTTCTGCAATCAACTTTTCTCTCTATACATAAATATTAATGATTCTAATATGACTATACATCCAAATCTAGATCTTACAATACTTGAAACCCCATCTTGATATCCTAGTAACAAGTAGCTTCAACGTAAAGGCAGTGAGCAGATTATACTCTCATATCAATCCAAAGAATGTGCTCTACACTTGAGAGACATGTCTACTTGTAGTATATCCCATCCAATCAAACGAACAAAAGATGAGAGCATCACCAATCCAAAGTTATGTTTCTTGAAAGGTAGAGGTTGTCAATGTACTCGATGATGGGTTGCAAAGCATTGATGTATCTTTTCATTTCTTGCTCTGCCGACACATCTGCCACAGCATCACAATTGTTTATATAAAACAATACCTTTAATTGTTTTCTGTAAAGAATCTAAATATTGTTTCATCCGGTTAATATCATGCATTTTGGTAATGCTTATCTGGTCGAAATGGCCTGAATCTGTTCAATTTTCTGAATTGAAAAGATTTTGGTAAAATCAATTTCAGTCCACTAAGCAAGTCAAAAGCTACTTATTACTGGTTATGATATTCTGATCATCTGCTGCTACCAACTGGCAACTGGGCCTAATTCCTTTACTCGAGCAGCCACTACTTGGGGAGCTCTTAATCAAGTTGACGTTACATTGGCTCATACCAGAGACAAACAGAACTCTTTCCAAAACGAACAAACTACTACTACAAATAAAGTGACATAACATGTGATAGTTTTAGCATAGTGGAAAAAGAATCACAGCCTTTACTTGGATTTGTGGCTCTGTCCAAAGCTTAA